GTCCACTGGTGGAACCTCTTCTAACCGGTTCGGTAGATTTGACGAACCGGTTCTACCGAATAGGTGCGAACTGGTAGGAACCCACCTCTGCAGCACAGTATGTTCACTCGTGGCTGAAAGTATCGTACTTTAGCCACATGATGCAGTAACCCAGCTCTCTTGGGGAGTCTGTGAAATCGGGAAAGGTGGAAGAAAAGAGAAGAGGACAACCTGCAATAATGTGGATGAACTCAATTGCAATGAGTACACACTATTGGAAGACCTGAAGGACTAGGTGGTGGACAGAAAGACTATCATGGAGAAAATGTACATGGCCTCTAACAGCACCAATTTGGTGTCACATAATCAGTCACTGCTCATTCCAATGACATACATGCACAGTCCACAATGCATAAAAGTGTATACAACATTAGAAAAGGCATTGTAAATTGTTGATCAGTTTGTTCTAACAACTCTAAGATATCAAAAGGATAATTTTTCCTAACACATCTTCACAGATTTGGGAAGACTATACTTTCATTTTTAAAAACATTATTTTCAAAATATATGGAATGACAATCTCAGAGTTTAAAAAACAGAATGAATTTCCTTCTCTAAGAAACAAAATGAAATGTATGGGAAATCAGAAACGTTTGATGATATACTCAGTTTATGCTGGGGGGGGCGGGGAGCTTACGGTAGGTTGAAAGAAAAATCCTTAGTTACAGAACTGTTGTTCTTGTCCTAATTATTATTTCTTTCTGCTGCAGAAAAGATTTAAAGTTTGTCAGTGAAGTTGAGAAAGAAATGAAAGCTCTTATAGAAGCAGTCAATAAGGTTGGTAATGTAGAAAACGTGTTCACTTCCAACTACATAAAGTCTTAAATCTTCTATCAAAACCAATATAGTAATATAGTCAGAAAGCAATTAAATCCAGTGCTAAACATTACATTTTTTTAGGGAATAGCCAGTAACACAATCAACATGTTTACTGTGGACAGTTTCATAAAATTAAATACACTGTCGTAATCTAAACCATTTTTGACAGATTGGAATGGCAGTTGCCCAAATTTTGGGATATTCCTAGAAGTTGTAGTTGGCATCCTGTGAGCTGGAAAAATTGTCATCGTTTGGCTTTATTTAATATTTGGCAATATTTAGATGTAAGTAACATAATTAAATGTTTACAACAAGATACGTTATAAAAAAGACAGAAGAGAAAAATATAATCAATCTATCCTGGGGTATGGATAAGGATGCTCCGGGCCCTACCTATTCTCATGGCCTTCTGCAAAGCTATTAAAACCTGGCTTTTCCGGCAGGCCTGGGGGCCGTTGACCTCTTGATTGAGGTCCGGCCCCTCTCTGATTGGGTGTATGTTGTGCTTTTTTATAACGTATCTTG